CCCCAGGGTAGAGCTCCTGACTGGAGTGTTTTAAGGCCATTATATAGTGAAAAACCATCAAGTACCGCACCAGTTTAGAACGCTGAAACTGTAGTAGAATTTGTTTACATTATAAAAAGCTTGGCAGCCCAAGAAACACGCTTTAAAAATTCAGAGAGGTTCATCGACCATTCAGCTATTATATTATAGAGTGTCTTCCTTTGGTATTTACTTCAGTGCAGTGTGTCAATTCGTTGTGTAATTATGTTTGGTGTGCCTGGTGGTTTTTAAGAGAGGAGCCTACTTTGACCGCATTTAAATCAGGTCTTAAAGCACATGTCATATGTGAGGCAACGTGGTGGAATCAGGCTCTCGTCAATTTTTGGGCATGTAGAGTTATTGGTATCATCTTAAAGCTTGTTCACTTGTCTTTATTTAGATGAAAAAAATATCAGTTTATCTTGAATACAAGTCATGATATTTGCAAATGAAGGAGGTGGGGGTTACCTGTTTTCAGAGGTAAAACTAGTGAGAAAATGGCCGCCAAAGATTAGTTATAACCTTAGCTTAAGAGTCCGTGGTAACTGAAAATTTACATTTTTTGTGTGCTATTAATCAACGTTTTTATGAAAAATCCTCACAGAAATAAGTTCTTTAATGGGCATGAAAGATGTCGAGCAAAAAAACACACAAATTTGATAAAAGTTCACAAACCCGCGGAAAAATGCAGGTTTCTTCCCTTTGATTATTTTGACGAGAGCCTGATTCCACCACGCTGCCTCACATATTTATTATTTCAATTACATTGTACGGCACTACATTATGTTACTAATGTAGTTTTAGTCATCTTCCAACAGCTAGTGGGATCAGTAACCACAATAGCTGTTTGATGGTTTTTTGTTGTTGTTATTTTGTTAAGTCTTTTACGGTGCTAGCAACTGCAAGGTCATAAGAGCGCACGCGTAATTGTTCCCTTAAATAAAAATATCAGTCAGAAGTTCTGATCTGCAACGAAGAAATATACAGAAGGTCATTTTTACCACCATCCATCAAAATACTTCCACCTTAATCATCCTGTTACAAATATTCATATGACCTTAGAGCATGCATCAGAATAACATTGAGTTACAGTCTGTATACTGAGTATGTATCTAGCTAAGGATTATTATTGTTTATATTTCTGTTCATTTACATTAGTCATATTAAGGAGGGGGGGGGGTTAAATTGACGAATTTTGGTCAGTTTATGGTATCTAGACTTTTTAACGTATTATAATACTCCAATCACTTGTAAATATAAAAAGACATTACTCTTTGTGTTACAATCATCATCTTTCAGATTTTCTGTCCTAGAACTTTCTATTTGCATATTATGTAACAGAATGTCGTTTTTTTCGCAAAACGTCAATTTTTTATATTTTTTCTCATCTACTTTTTATTTTCTTTTTCATTCCAATGAAATTTTCAGGGCTTGTTATTTATACCAAAACCTAAATTTATACCGGTGAAAAATAAAATCGATGCTTTCATGAGTGAGTTACATGGATGAATATGTAATCGAATTGAGAGGCATGAGGGAGTAGGTCAGTTATCCATCTCTAACTTTTTTCCTGTTCAAGATTATCCAAGATCCCGACTGTATGAAATTCTGTATTGAGTATATCTATCAATGTGCCAACCTTTTTACTTTATGAAAGCTGTTTATTTTCAATATGGCGGCCGTTACCATGGCAACCGTAGACTTAAACCAAAAAAAATTAAAGTTGCATTTTACAAATTACACATGTTTTCCTGCTATGCCTCCTTGTTATAAGGCTTTACCTGAAAAGGCCATAGTTACCGAGATGGGTTTATAAACCAGCCCACCCCCCCCCACCCCCTTAATGACTGTAAGCCTGCGTGTTGTGTATGCATGTTTGTGTGTGTGTGTGTGTGTGTGTGTGTGTGTGTGTGTGTGTGTGTGTGTGTGTGTGTGCGCGCGTATGTGTGTAGGCCTATGTGGGGATATACCAAACCAATACGCCATGATCTGGACAAAAAATATGCATCTTATTTGAAGCAACTACTGTTGTTTTTTTTGGGTAAGTTTTACGGCAACTGCATACGGTCATATGAGCGCACGGGACACACCTAATACTTTTAGTTGGTAGGAAATTTTGAATTTTGCCCGGATGGCGGCCGAAGCCTACTCTTATCGATTTTAGACCACCAAGGGATCTTTAACGTGCGTAACTTGCGCACGGGCCCTCCGAGATTTTTCGCCCTTGTCCGAGAAGGCTAGGTGTAGATCTTTCCTACCAGAAGATCAGGGGTGTGGCTGAAAGACAGCTGTAAGAAGGAGTCAAGGAGTAGCAGTAGAAAGGCTGCAGAAAGAGTCAGGAGCCCAGAGGAGGCGGCAAAGGAGGTGAGGGGGTGGGGCAGAAAGAGGAGGCGAAAGCAGACGACAGAATATTGCTAGAGAGCAGGAAAGGAGGTGAAAGGAGGTGAAAGGAGACAATTTTAGAGAAGAAAATTTTTCGGTCGCTACCCGGATTCGAACCGGGGACCTTTGAATGAGAGGCCAACACCTTAACCTCAAGGCCACGAGAGCCCCGTGCCCTGAGTTAGCGTGAAACGTTGATTTAATCAAAATTAAATCTTATTTTACTGTGCCTAGAGGCTCCAAGGAGTGGGCGTTATAGAAGTGATACTTGTTTTTGTCAAAATTATTACAGGCATTATTACTATTACTATTATTATTATTATCCGTATTATTGTCATAATTATTACATGTACCATTACTATTATTATTATAATTATTATTGTCATAATTATTACACCATGTATTAGTACTATTATTATTATTTTTACTATTATTATCCTTTTTATTGCCGTAATTATTACATATATTATTACTATTAATTCTGGAATCAAAGACCTAATCCATAAAAAAAGGCTTTTTAAAAACCGTCACAAAACAGAACTAAAAGTCATAGACAAAGTAATTAAGAAAGTAATCGAGGTTGAAAAACAAAAATATAAAAAGAAACTGGAAAATCTGTTTCGTTCAAATAACTCTCGAGAGACACGGACAGGGCTTCAGACCAGAGTGGGCTACAAAAATAAACCAACAAACGTATGTGTTGACAACGAAGGGAGCTATGCAAATAAACTTAATGCCTTTTTCTCCCGTTTTTTTGTTGTCCAAGTCAGTCAGTGTGACTTGCCATGTGTGAACACCGACACAAATGAAAATGATGATGTTGTTGTTGAAGAACGTGAGGTTAGATGTGTGTTTGGACGAGTGAATGTGAGAAAGGCGTGTGGTTCAGACGGTGTGCAACCCAAAATTCTAAAAATGTGTTCAGCACAACTTAGTTCTATTTACACCTAGATTCTATATTATCAACCAGTCGTTGTTGACACATGCTATTCCCACTATTTGGAAATATTCTGAAATCTCCCCCCTTCCAAAGAAAGAAAAAATTACTGAAATGAATGACCTACGACCAATAGCCTTAACATCCGTAGTTATAAAATGTCTTGAAAAAAATTGTGCTAAAAAAGCTACGAACATACATAGAACCCATCCAGGACACTCTTCAATTCGCATATCGTCACGGGAGAAGTGTGCGCAAGACGCCATTCTACTATTTCTTGACACTTAGACAAACCAAAAACTATACTGTTGGATCCTGTTTGTTGATTTTTGTCAGCCTTTAATTCTATCCAGCCAGCTATCATTTTAAAGAAATGAGAAAACATAGGTGTTAACGTCATTTTAATATCATGGACAGGCAATTTCCTTACCAACAGAACCCAGTATGTAAAATTAAAACATTCTTCTTCGACATACATCAAAACAAATCAGGGGCCCCTCAAGGAAGTGTTTTTCCATGAGTTTTATTCACACTATACACGAACGATTGCCAAATAAACAACAGTAACATTAAGTTGATAAAATTTGCTGAAGATTCAACCATAATTGGGCTAATTCAGGCTGACCATAACGAAACCGCTTACCGAAATTTTGTACATAGTTTTTCTGAATGGTGTGAAAATCATAAGCTGCTTTTAAATGTGAAAAAACCCAAAAGAACTTGTTTTTGATTTTAGAATAAAGAAACTGCCCCTGCAGCCACTCAAAATTAAATGTGAAAACATCGAGCAAGTGTCAGACTATAAGTATTTGGGTGTTACAATAGACAACAAACTCAACTGGCGTGTCCACACTTCTCTCCTGCATAAAAAGTGAACAAAAGACTATTTTTTTCTAAGGAGGCTAAAGTATTTTAAAGTTGATAAAACATTGATGTCCATGTTCTACCATTCAACCACAGAAAGTATGATCAATTTTTGTATAACAGCAAGGGCCAGGTACACAAGACAACAAGATGAAGAAAAATTAAATCGACTAATTTAATACGAACAGCAGGGAAAATTTCAACATCTACATTCCCCTACTTGGATGAATTATTGTACATAACAGTTTTCACTAAAAACATTTAATTCCATCTTTTTAGACAATAAACATCCCTTGTTCCCTCAAATAAAAACATCAGTCAGAAGTAAAAGACCTAGGCTTCTGATCTGTAACAGAGAAAGATATAGAAGGTCATTTTTACAACCATCTATGAAAATGCATCCATCTTAACCATCTGGTATAAGTATACTTACGACCTTAGAGCATGCATCAGAATAACATTGAGTGTGTATCTAGCTTAGGATTATTACTGTTTATATTGCTGCTTATTTATATTATGCATGTGATTGTAAGCCTACATGTATGTGCATGTGTGTGTGCATGTGTGTGTATGTGTGTGTGCGTGTTTGTGTGTTTTTGTACGTGGTGAAACACCAAACCAATACACCAGGATCTGGACAATAAAGATGTCTTATTTGAAGCAACTACTGTTGTACCCTGAGTTGGCGTGAAACGTTGA